AAAAAAAAAAAAGAAATCTCCAGAGTAAAGCTTGAGGAAAACATACACACTTTAAAGTTATTCTTTATTCTCTTGAACTTTTTGATGGGAGATTTATGATGGTTTTGCTTGTTTTTGCATTAAGGCTCAGCTTATCTTTTTTTTTTTTGAGACAGAGTCTCACTCCGGTACCCTGGGCAGAGCGCTGTGGCATCATAGCTCACAGCAACCCCAAACTCTTGGGCTCAAGAGATTACCTTGCCTCAACCTCCCAAAGTAGCTGGGACTACAGGCACCCACTATAATGCCTGGCTAGTTTTTCTGTTTTTAGTAGAGACAGAGTATTGCTCTTGCTCAGGGTAGTCTCAAACTCTTGAGCTCAAGCAATTCACCCTGGCAGCTCAGGTTATCTTCACACACTGACTGCCACACAAGAAAAAAAATGCTTTTTTCCCCTTGGGAACCATTATTACATGTGAGTTACATATGCTTCACAAAGCCCTGGGCTTGAAACTAACGTGAGCTAAATACATCTTACATGGCCGTTAATGCATTAAAGACACAGATATCAAAAAGTACAGTCTTCCTCTTTCCAACAATACAGTGCTATTTCTACAGTTATCTAGAAAATCACTCAGGGACAGGAGCAGGCAAAAGCCCAGCTCTTCCAGAGTGGCTCAGGAATCTGTTTCCCATGTGCCCTGCTCCTGCAAATGAGGTCCTTATGCAGGAGGTCACGGAATCTGAGATTGGTTTAGTGTTCCTGAACCCACTGTCTTGGCCCCACTCCCAGCCCTGCTCCCATTCCCAACCCTAACAATTCAAATTTCTTTGAAATTTCTATTTTATTCTGACTTAGCAAAATGCATAATGGTCAATCTATTATTATTATGTATTTTCAAGCAAGTAGTAGGACACATGGCTCTCATCCTCTAAAAATTTTTATATTTCAATATTTCAATGGTTATGACTTGTCAACACCCAAGGAACATAGGATCAGCACTGATGAGAAATGTCAGGAATTGGACATGCCCCAAAGGCCTTCCTGTGGATCTTCCGAGAGCTGCAGATCTGTGTTGACCCTCAGTGCAACTTCAAACCACACTCAGGCTCTTCTTGGAATCCAAAGAGACCAAAACCCATCACATAAATTAAAGAATACTCTTAACTCAGACTTTGGGGGGGAAGTCAGCCAAACCATATAGAGCATATGAAAATAGAGAAACAATTATTATTTTCAAATACATCCAGAAATTCTGACTGCAGGTATCCATAAGCAAAGATCCCTGGAGGCCTGCTTTACTAAATCTCCTGTAATTAAATGTCCTCACTTTGGTGCCAGTCATCCACTTTCTGGCACACCCCATGCTACTGTCCACACTTATCACATGAGGGTCTGAACTATAAGTGGCCAGGCCAATAAGGTATTTTGATAATCAGTGTCTTTAGAGAAATGAATTCTTAGCCATTTCAAGGGAAAGTACATGCCAAAGCAACAAGATTCGGTTTTGCTGTCCCTGCTTTCTCACCTAGCTACCCATCCCCAAACCTGACTGGCTATCTGTGAAACAAGCATGGTGCTATGACAAGAAATCAGGTGATCACTTGGGCCTCATCCAGGTTCACCACCATGCTTCAGGGAAGGAATTAAGAGAGGTCAGGGTATGGGCCTGCGTATTTCAAAGTGAAAAACTTATGCAAATAGGAAGGGAGGAAAGATAGACGAGCAGAGTGACCTCTGAAGAGTTAAAAAGTATTTGTTACATTCAAATTTTCCCTGTTTAAGACAGCAAGTTTAGGGCCTGAAAATCTTTGATTTGGTGGAAGGACATCAGATATTCCTATACTCATGTAATGGCCCCATGCCCCCAGCAAGGGAGAGTATGAAGAAATGATGAAAAATGATGAGAATAAAGAGTCTGAATCATCCAGGCATGGAGGCTTACGCCTTTAATCCCAGCACTCTGGGAGGCTGAGGCAGGTAGATTACCTGAGCTCACACGTTTGAGGCCAGCCTAAGCCAGAGCAAGACCTCATCTCTAAAAATAGTCCGGCAGGGGTGGTGCCTGTGGCTCACTGCGTAGTGCGCCAGCCCCATATACCAAGGGTGGGGGGTTCGAACCCGGCCTCGGCCAGCTAAAACAGCAGTGGCTACTGAAACAAAAAATAGCCGGGTACCTGTAGTTCCAGCTGCTCTGGAGGCTAAGGCAAGACAATCACTTAAGCCCAAGAGTTGGAGATTGCTGCGAGCTGTGACACTACAGCACTCTACCAAGGGTGACATAGTGAGACTCTGTCTCAAAAATAAACAAACAAACAAATAAAAATAGCTTGGTGGTGTAGCAGGCGTCTATAGTCCCAGATACTTGGGTGGCTGAGATACTCTTGTGATTCTCTATCACTTGAGCCCAAGAGTATGAGGTTGCTGTAAGCTGTGATGCCACAGCACTCTACTAAGTGCTACAAAGTGAGACTCTGTCTCAAAAAAAAAAAAAGAGTCTAAATCAATAAACTATAAGGTCATTTCTCACCTATGACATCAGGCTTAGTGGAGCATCTGGGCTGGCCCCTTCACCATGAGCATTTTGATGGTAAGTTTTGGGCTCTGTATTTAAGCAGAAATCTATGTTTTACTGGAAAACAGAATCATGTTCCTTCTTTTTTTTTTTTTTTTGAGACAGAGCCTCAAGCTATCCCCCTGGGTAGAGTGCTGTGGCATCACAGCTCACAGCAACCTCCAACTCCTGGGCTCAAGCGAGTCTCCTGCCTCAGCCTCCCAAGTAGCTGGGACTATAGGCGCCCGCCACAACGCCTGACCATTTTTTTGGTTGCAGCCATCATTGTTGTTTGGCGGGCCTGGGCTGGGGATTCGAACCTGCCACCTTAGGTGTATGTGGCTGGCGCCTTAGCCGCTTGAGCCACAGGCGCCGAGCCTCATGTTCCTTCTTAAAGTGCCAAGGAACATCTGATGATAATATTCAAGTGCAAGAATTCAGTGCTTCCCAAACTATGTGGGGTTAGAGGAAGAATAAAGCAATAAAGTACAGTATGTGCTTAGAGCCTAAAGATAGGAGCCATCCAAAACTGTTCTCATCTGTATATGCAAAGACTACTGGCATTTCTGAACTCATCTTTTCTTCTCAAAAATTAACATAACTGACTTTGGGCATAAAGAGGACCCATTTCTCAGAGGAGGCATTCTCTTCCAGGGTCTAAAGAGGTATTCCTGAGCTGAAGGAACTGCATTTCCTAGGCAATATATGAAAGAAACATGGCTACTACAGACTCTGGCTAAACACCTCTTACCTAAATCCAAACTTATCCATTGCAACAGAAATGTGCCGTGGCTGTGAAAAACACCTGTAGGCATTGTGGTCATCCATTGGAATGAGGTCCACATCGCTGAACACAAAGCAGTTGTAGTCATAATCCTTTAAGGCTTCTTGAAAGCCAACGTTGAGGAGCTTAGCACGATTAAACTTAGAGTCTCCAGCCTGGAGCAAAAACAAAAAAGGTAAAATCAGACTCCTTAAGCCCTTTGGGCAGAACTATCATCAGAGACTGGAACTTGTCCAGTAGGTGTGGTCATGAGTCAACTCTGGGACATCATTTTGCTGCCCCCAATTTACAAATCAAGACTGAGCACCAAACCCTCTAAGTCGGTAATTCCACTTTTAGGTCTTTATCCTGCAGGAGGACTTGCATGTGCATGAATGACTGATCACTATTGTTCACTGGAGTGTTTATCACAGCAAAAGATTGCCAGCAACATCAATGGACCTGGTTTTAAATCATAGTACATCCATGCAAGGGAATAGAGCTGTTAACAAAAATTAAGGAAGCTCTAAAGGAAAGGTGAAAAAGGCATTTAAACATGTCATTTACATATATATATACACACACACTATAAATAAACTAATTTCAGGAAAGATAACCAGGAAACTGGTGAAATTAATCAGGTACCTGTGGAACTTCTCACTTCTGTTCTCTTTATATAGTTGGCTACAGTTTGATTACCCTATTATGTGCCTTCCATGTATGTCAGGCACCAAACCAAGCACCAGAGAAATAATGTGAACCCACCTCAATCTCCATGCTCACGAAGCTCACTGTGTAGGGTAGGAAACAGTGTGATACACATTATGATAGAAACAGTGTGTGCAATGACAAAGAGGATCACCTGTTTGGGGATGGCAACCCCTGGGTCCCCAAGGACCAAATCTGCTGGCACAAAGGCCATATATATTTCATTTACTTGTGTATTTTCAGTCCCCCTACCCCCACTAGAATGCAAGCTCAAGGAAGACAGATATTTGACTGGGTGTGGTGGCTCATACCTGTAATCCCAGCACTCTGGGAGGCCGAGGTGGGTGGATTGCTTGAGCTCAAGAGTTCGAGAGCAGCCTGAGCAAAAGCTAGACCCTGTCTCTAAAAATAGCTGGCCATTGTGGCAGGCATCTATAGTCCCAGCTACCTGGGACTGAGAAGAGGATCACTTGAACCCAAAGAGTTTGAGGTTGCTGTGAGCTATGATGCCATAGAACTCTACCAAAGGCAACTGAGGGAGACTGTCTTCAAAAAAAAAAAAAAATAGAGACCTTTTGCTTTTTATTCACTCAGTTCCTTAAACATTGCCTATCATATAATAGGAGCTTACTAGCTCAACATTGCTGACTAGCTGAATAAATGTATGAATGAATGAACAGACTGAAAAATGAATTTTGACATAAAATGGCAGATGGAACACCAGCTGGGCAGAACGGTAAGTGAGGAAAGTGCATCTTCCTTTTCCTCCGCTGGGATTACAGAAAAGTCAACCCTTTTCTAGGCTCCTTTCGGTGAACTGCTGTAACACTTGGCACTCACTTTTCTTGATAAGAAAGACAGGCCCTAGCAAGCCTACTAATCCCCACTGCTAATAGGAGGTCAAAGCCCAACTTCCTGCCCCTCCCAGCTAAGCACATTCATCCAGTGCATCTGATACTTCATTTGCTCAAGTAAACATTTATCAGGATAAAATACACCACTGTGACAGACACATGCATTTTTATCCCAGGAATGCAGCTTCTTTATTAACCATATGAGTTTGGGCAAATCACACCTCTAGGCCTCAGTTTCCACTTTTGTGTCATGTAGATAAAAAATGAGATGTACTAAAACGAGACAATGCATGAAAAGACCTAAGTTCACTGTCTGGTAAAAGTGTCAGCTACTATTAGAGGGATAGGCTTTCCCATCCATCCTGAAAACATCTCCCACGGATCCAACCTGGAGACTGCCTTCTGTAGCTTTCCCCATGTCCTTCCTAACCTACTTCTCTGACAGAAGGGGTACTTTCTAACAAGGTTCAAGTGAGTTAGCCTGTGGCTTATGCATTTAGAGTCTTCAGCAGAAGAAGAAACCAAAGAGACCTTCATAGACCTGGGAAAGGTGTGGGAAATCACACTTGGTGGAAGGAGCCAGCATGCTGGGCATGCGTGTCCCTTTGAAAGACCCAGTTTTTCTTTTTCTTTCTTTTTTTTTTTTTCTGAGACAGAGCCTAAAGCTGTTGCCCTGGGTAGAGTGCCGTGGCATCACAGCTCACAGCAACCTCCAACTCCTGGGCTTAAGCGATTCTCTTGCCTCAGCCTCCCAAGTAGCTGGGGCTATAGGCGGCCACCACAACACCCAGCCATTTTTTGGTTGTAGTTGTCATTGCTGTTTGGCAGGCCCAGGCTGGACTTGAACCCGCCAGCTCTGGTGTATGTGGCTGGAGCCTTAGCCACTTGAGCTATAGGCGCCGAGCCAAAAGACCCAGTTTTTCAAGTATGGACTCCATCTTATGTTGATAAATAAGAATTACAGTTATCACTTCCTTCTAGGGCAACCAGGTATATGTGTGTATTTTCTTTTTGGACTCTCTTCTTTCTGTCCTTTTTCGGTTTATATATTATATACATATATATACCCCCCAATATATATAAAGTATATATATAAACCCCCAAATGACTGGGCAAAGGCCATTACAGGAGGCGGACCAAAGAAAAGCAGGCAGAATCAGACCAGATCCAGACTACAGAGGTGGTGGCAGGAGAGAGGACAGTTGCAGGAGCAGAGAAAGGCATGCACAGTGAGCACATTTGTAAAGGCTGTGGGGGAAGAGAACATTTCAGAATGGGTGAAGCAAAAGGTAGAAGGGGGTAGGGTGTTAGGTGCTAGCTAAGATACTTAGGCTTATCTTTTATCTAGGCCACAGGGCGTCTTAAACTACAGTTTGTATGTCAAGGAGGGATTTGTGCCCCATCCAAGTGAAGGTGAGGGACCAGTTAAGAAGCTGTTGTTTGATTCCAGTGAGAGCTCCCAGTTAAGAAGAGAAAGCCTCCCCCCATGAACTAAAGGCAGAGGCTCCACTTCCTCTTTCATTCTTGCCTGCTCTCAAGGCCTATGCATCATCACACTTGCCTTTGTGGGGGATTTTAGGAGGAGGTCTGGTCCAATCTGTAGGAAAATCCTAACTGTGGTTAAGGAAGGCAAGAATGGCGTTCCCCTGATTGTAATGGGGACAGAAAGCCATGTCCCCCTTTATCCCAACAGTCTCTGGATCTATTCCTACCCCACCCCCACCTACTCTAGATGCCAGGCTTATGTGTGTATAGCAGCAGACACACATCCCAGGCCATGATGGCTCAGGGACTGGTCATACCTGGCCTATCTTCTACCAAAGGACACAACAATAACAAGATTGAAAACATCCACCTGGGCCAGGCGTGGTGGCTCACGCCTGTACTCCTAGCACTCTAGGAGGCTGAGGCGGGTAGATTGCTTGAGTTCAAGAGTTCAAGACCAGCTTGAGCAAAAGTGAGACCCCGTTTCTACTAAAATAGAAAAACTGAGGCAAAAGAATCGCTTGAGCCTAGGAGTTGGAGATTGCTGGGAGCTATGACACCATAGCACTGTACGCAGGACAACAGCTTAAGACTGTCTCAAAAAAAAAAAAAAAAGAAAAGAAAAGAAAAAAGAAAGAAAGAAAAGAAAACTTCTACCTGAAGGCAAGACTCTCAATGAATCTGAATTCTGTGATGGGAAACACACTGTGGCTCCCACACACACACACTCTGGCCCATCACAAAGCCAACCCCCACCCCACCATGTACACAGTCACCTCCAGGCTCTCATCACCACAGACTGAGGGGCAGGTCTGTAACCAGTGGCAACGTTTGCCAAAACACCCTCTGCATGCTTTTCTGTGCCTGCTCAAACACCAAGAGGAAGGATCTAGGCTGAGCAAGTTGCAGGAAAGCAGTAACAGATGAGCAGCAGAGGAAGCTCTGACAGGGCCGTCCTGTAGGCTATGTGTGGATCCAGGACAGTGGACAGACTGGGAGGTGATCCCCAGAGAATTACTGGAAAGAGCCTGGGATTATACAGATGCTGAGTTTGTGGAGGGCTAATATCCACTCACCCATGAGTTCACAGCATTTGGTCTCTAGTTTTTAACCACAATAATATGGTAGCTTAGACAGAGGAGCCCAGAACAAAACTTGGGTCTGAGACTTAAACTCTTCACCCAGTGAGTGAGGGAAAAGGGCCCTTCAGTGCCAGAGACAGGCTGAGGGGTGGCTTTCTGTCCACCAAAGTAATCATTCTCAAGAGTGAGCACATCCTTGACCCCTGCCACACAGAAACACAATTTGGACAGAGGCCATAAAATTGCTTTCAGAGAGAAATGAGCTCCCAGAACAGCCCAGCAGGGATGCTGGGTGAGGTGAGCACAGAGAGGGCAGCTTTAAATCCCAGCAGGATGCCTGCCCTTCTCAGCCTGCTGTGACAAGGCTTTCCCAAGAATATATCAAGAGGCTGGCACTAAGCACTTGCGGGGTGCTAAAGATATAAGCTGGAGAAAAATACTTGCAAAATTAAAAGCTTCTCTTTCACAAAGCAATTTGGCCATTTGTATTAAGAAATTTAAAAATGTGCATAAAACCATTTTTGAACCCATAATCCTACATCCAAAAATCTAGCTGGGGAAATGATCCTAAGTGTGGAAGAAGCCAACACAGAATTAACTTCAGACTCAAAGATGTTCATTAGAGTATTATTTATACTTATGAAAAAGTAGAAATTATCCGAACACCTTCTAATACAGAAAAGGCTGTTATCTATGATGGAACTCTATGACCAACTACTATTAAGGCATGGAAGGTAATGACTATGAAGACTATGAAATAATATGGAAGATGCACATGATATAGAATTTAAGAAAAAAGGCAGGACACAAAAGTTGATATACATGTAATGTGAACTCCACTGTGGTTTAATCTAAAGAGTGAAAGTCCCTGAGACCTTTGTACAACATGGCTTCCAGCAACCTCAGCACCTCCCAGCTAGCCCACAGAGGCCCTGGCCTCACCTGGGGGTCCCCAGGGCCCAAAGATGACCCGTTCATGGGCTTATTTGCATGGCTTCCCCGTGAGCAGCAGGGCCCTGGATCTGGGTTGATTTGAGGGCATGTGGA